ATGAAATATGTGTTAACGGTGACTTGTTGCTATACGTGCACATCACAATGACAAGAGTAAAGAAAAGCGATGGCATTCGTGGTGCACTCACAACTAGCGACAAGTACGCAATTTGTGCCAAACACCTTTATCAAGATTAACACTCCACATGTAATTTAGCGAATGAAATGAAGTACACATATTGAACTTTTGAAAGCACAGGAATAGGAAGTAGACATGGAAAGCCCCTACTGGGGATATGCAAAACATATATGCAGATATGTAGGCATGAAACAGGACATACACGTAAAAGACATAAAAAACAGATGTAATAGGCACAGCAAAACCACGGACCTAATCATAGACTAGTGAGGGTAACAACAGCTCTATCTGAAGAGAAGAAGAGCGAAATTAGCCACTAAAATAGAGGCCAACCCAGATGTAGTTGGAATAAAAACACACGAGCTTATAATTGCCCTCAACAACAAGTGCAAAGCTGTAAAATCATAGGGCAACAATAGCTTCAGCCTCAAGACAACAAGAGGAAAATCAGCCACAGGCCAACCTAGCAGAAGTCAAAATAAAAATACACGAGCTTAGAATTGCGTTTGGCAAAAATGCAAAGCAAAGAGAGAAAAAACAAGAAAACAGACACAGAGGCAATGAACAAAACCATTACTACACTGACATCTGAAGCAGAAATTTAAGGCGGTAAACCACCAAGGCAGAAAGTAAGCGAAATTTCCCGAGTGACGAGAAACATAATGAAAAACAGGGACACTTGACACAGAATATTAAAAATAGGCTTAGCTAACTTAACAAAGCTTCTCATCAAGAACTCTAGTCACACAGAATTACAATGTAAATACGTAAATGAGATCGAGACCCCACCCAAGCTACTTAAAGGGAACTGCTTATAAAGGACCAAAATGTACACACTGAAACAAACAGGGCAAACGTGTTAGAAATTTCAATGACATTATGACGGCAACTGAAAACATCTGCTCTGAACTGTACGGATCAAAGATAAGTAATTACTGTTGAAATGAAAATAATAGGACAAAACACTGCAGTTCCTCATGTACGGTACTTGGGGATTCAAACGCAACATCAATTTTTTGGGGATAACTGGTATGCACACCTGCTCGAAATAACCACGTCATGTCGTGATAAATATAGTCTCTAAGAATAATTTTGGCTCTGATATACACGTTCTAGTCGAAATTACGCCAATATGACCCGAACTTAACGCAGTGTCAACAAAAGTATGTGCGTTACTGAGACCATAATTCCTGCATTTCAATCCGTGAGTACTGTACCTACAGACTAGGTTAAGAGGCCATACCACATATGCATCATAGAAAAACGGAAGGAAAACACGAAAGAAATGAGGCATAACACTATTTTACATTGGTTGTAGCAGCCTGCTTTCCAATGCTACGACTACCAGTTTTTGCATCTTTAGCTTCATCAGCTGCCAAACGCATATTCTCTTTCCGCAGAAGAATGTTAATTCTGGTTTTAAAAAATGCTCTCAGCAACCTCTCCTGAATGTTGTGGCAAGGTGGAAAACAATTGACAGCTTGCACACTGTCATTAGTGGTGGCCACAAGTTGACCAATCGTAACTTCATTGCACAGAAGCTTGTTGCTATTCACTCTAAACATATTCTCAGCTGTTTCGAGCAAATGAAGTACTGCTGGCCCTGGTGATACGAGCTTGCTGTCATCAGTGTAGGATTTTAACTTTGTGAGCACACTAGCTTCGTTCGACACTGTGGCAGTTTTGCACTGCTCACAAACCTGTGTGCTTTGCAACACTCTTTACCACAAACCCAGCAAGGTAAATAAAAGACTCATGCTCCATCATGCTTATGTCGAGAAGATCACTGGGATATTCAACAGCTTCTGTATCATTGCTGTTAGGAGCTCGCGTGGCAATTTTCGATGCCAACTAGGGAAGGAGCATCGTCGATAGCATAGCTTCCACTTCTACTGGGCCGAAAGAACTGTGCCAAAGTAGCAGCTCGAATAGCACTACGAAATTGAAGAGCTTTTGGTACTGCATTCTTCGCCCTCAGAGTGGAGAACAAATTCTCAAGAGCATCTTGGGCAAATCGGCTGAGCAAAACAAAAAAGAAGCCCTTCTCATTAAGATAATAATGCTGCAGTTCCAATGCAACTTTACACACCAAAATTATGCCCGTCTGCACAGGCTTCCACACGTGTTTGATGGAGAGCCTATCTTCAGATCTGTAAAAAGAGTTCAGATCTGTATACCATATCCTTTAAAAAAATCAGTGAGTCCTCATATTTCTGATCATTTAACTTGCTGATGCCAAGCTTCGTTGTACGTGATGTCAGTACTTTGAACCACCTATAAATGGTTTCTATGAACCATGCTGTTGTCAACGCTTCTTGGGGCAAATCTCCCCTTTGGACCAGGAAACGTGGTGCAGCTGCAGTATCGTGATTTAGCAACGAAAATGCAGGCACCACTTTTATTTTCTCATAGTGTCCTGGGTCCAAGAAGGATGGTTTCAAGTGCGGTGCTATGTTTAATTGCAGTTCAGAGTCTATTTCTACCAGCTTCTGAATCGGCACAAGGTTAACCTCATTCGAAGGCAGCTTGTGCTTTTCGACCACATTTTCGGGAAGGAAAATCGATTGACCACGTGTGAGGTGGTTCCTCAAGTTCTTTAGCAAATGTGCGGTGTCTGTCATAAAATAAAGCTTGCGATTTTGGTCAACAGGATGACAAGACACTCTTGACACAGATGCTTTCCCACAACTATGCCAAATTCTCTCCGGAGCGCCATATTCCCACCACCCATGTCGCTAACGACTGCATCTATACGAACCCCGATTGTTTCACATTCCTGAATAATTTCAATCAACTGTTCTTGAACTGCAGCACTGCTGAACGAGTTTCCAGTAAGATGATAAGCAACTGTCTGCTTCCATCTTTGTGTAACCCCACCCAGCATGAAAACAAGTCCATGCGTTGCCACTGCAGCATGTGACAGAGAACCGTCGGCCAAAGGTAAAGTTGGCCTTCCAATAACAGTGCCAGTCGTTTGGTCAAACGCAAGCCCTGAGCTCAACTGAATTTCATCGAGCATCAGAACTGCATGCCTCTCATGCTCCTTCATGGTGGTTATCTGAAATATGCAACATGCATTAGGCAACAAAGGCATAATAAAGACATTTAAAATACAATGCTTTTCAAGAATAAACAGGCAGTGCACAGTGCAAGCTGTATTTCGATGTTTGCATGCAAGAAGATTATCACCTATTGAAATTTATGTGAATTGTGCCTAGTTAGAGGACCTGAAGTCATAAGTGAAGGAAAGGTGAGAATATGTTGTGGAAACTTTATGAATGGCCGCTAAAACGTGCACGACAAAGAGCGCAGTGACAGGCACTAACACTGGCACTAGCAACAATGAAAGCTTAATAAATATTAGGGTTTACGTGCAAAAACCATGATACGATCATGAGACATGCCATAGTGGAAGGCTCTGGAAAAGGTTTCACCTTTTGCTCAAGGTGTACTGCTGAAAGAGATGCTCACGAGAATAATGTAACAAATATTCAGCTACACCATCCTTTCACCTTTAAAGCAAGGGACTTCAGAACCTCATGTAGAATTCCTGGTGAGAACTTGTAGTTTTCAACACGACGTTGTAAAGTTCTTTCACTCGGAAGGGGTACAGCAAGCTCCCTGACCGCATTGTAGCCTCTGGATCCACATGCCAAACGGAGCTTGAGGCCTTTCTGTATAGTCTCTGTAGACCATTGCTTCTTCGCATACTGGAAGTCCACATGCCTTGCAGTTGATCTGGTGACAGGTACTTCTTGATGTTTCGCGTGAGTTCATGGTTTCTACGGTTTGCTCTGCTTTTCTGTTGTTGCAGTGTAGCAACTTTCCGCTTCATGTTGTTCAAGCACTCTTCCAATGTAGCTATTCTTTTGTGAAGGGCAGCTACTACTGCTTGATCAGCATCCCAACTACTTGAACTGGAGCCTGCAAAGCACAGATTGAGCAGGAAGTGACAAGAGTTTGAAATTTCACTATTTAACCCAGACTAGCATGTGAGGGAGAACCATAAGGATTTAAAGAAACAAAAAAAATCAGTGCCACTCCATATTATTCAGCGGAAAAGTGTAAGCGTAACTTTTGAAACACAACAGTGGTTTTAACAAACAGCATAAGCTGACACTGTTGCTCAATGAAGAGGGACAAATGGAGCTGCGCAGAACCCGCAATGCATGCAGCTGAACTATTTTTTGGTGGGGGCGTGTCCTTGATCCGAAATAGGGGCAGGACAGTCAAGTGTGGTCACGTCTCACTTTGTACTCTGCGTGTGAAGGCAGAAAGACATTTTGGGAGCAGCAAGTGTCCGGTGTACCACCTCCTAGCTATGCCAATAATTAGTAATGAGTAAAGACATGAATATATGGCACGTACTCTCGGTTATGACGTAGGGTTATCAATGGCGGTGGCTATTTCAAACAAAGTGGGGAGAGTGCCATGGTTCCACTGTTGTAGCTTTTTTTGACAGAGTTGCTACAAGACGGCAGTTGATTGCGTGTCACAAGTGATAGTGTGATGTGTTGCGCAGTGTGTAGCAGTGTGCTATGCATTCTGTACACAAAACACAGCTTACATGTTCCTCCAATAAACTTACGTTGTGTGCGACTACTCTCGCTTTACAAGAATGAGCATACCAGCAAAAGAAACAAACAGGGCACCAGCGCTTGGAGCGCATCCGCACTATAAATGCACCAATATATCAAACTGTCATGAGTGTGCACGTAATTTCCTGTAGGCGGCGATGTGTCACAAGTGTATATTGCATAGTGTGTGAGAACAGTAGCACTGAACACTTACCGGTGACATCAGCTGTGCCCTCAGCAGACAGAAATCCTCCACAGGCAGCACAAAGTTCTGCTGAGCTGTAAATGACGGATAATCTTATTAGTAGTACTGAAGACCGGTACAGTCACCAAAGCTTTAAATTAGCACAGTTGCAGCACAGGCAATGAGGGATGGCCAGTGACTAAAATTAAAAAATGTATATGATACTGAACAGAAATTTCACTCACACTCAACAGGCACCGTCAAAGCTTGAAATGGCTGGCAGCTCGATTCATGGGTGGTTTCCACACCTGCGCACATATGATAGTTGGAACCAACAAAACCATCTGGCAGACACATGCCTATACAAATCATGAAAAGTAGCACTCACCTGCTGAACAAGCTGGCAGTGCGTCACATTCGGAACTTGAAGGTGCATCTGCAACATGAGATCAACAATAAATTATGTGAAATTTCAAAGCAACATGTCACTGTCATTACCTTCTGGAAAATCCGATGGTGCTGAATCAGTGGCAGTGTGACCTAAAAAGATAAAGACAAATTGAAGAAGACCATCATCTCTGTTACATCGCATTTTGGCAAACAAGCATCAACACTACTTGAAGCATTTACAATACGCACAGGTGCATTACAATTTTTCAGTAATAAAAATGCATCCAAAACCCAAGCGACAATGCTTTCAATGTGCTGAACACCATACTGCGGAGCAAAATGTTGTGGATCTGCAGCACACCCTACAGACATGATTGTAAAATATATAAACCAATGGATACAAGTTACAAGCCGTTACAATGCTTCGACTACATGCAGCATGTGTGTTAGTACGTTACCTTGTGAAGAACCTAACCCTGCTTGAGTGGCATCACTGTTGGCTCCATAGCCTGCAAATTATAAAACATCAATGAAGGCATAAAGCACGTTTGTAATTACGGTAAGTAATAAATGCAGTAAGAACTCACCATCAACTGCAGTTGGTGTCAGAAGCACATTTTAGCTGATGGGCAGTGGTCTCTTGGCTTCTGCATAATCCAAACATGTATTAATGAACGAAGAGGGAAAAGGCGTGAGATGTGCTTAACCGTCAACTCACCATCAACAAGAGCAGCTGCTGTTAGTAGTAGATTAAGAGTACAAGATGAGCGGGCTGAATCATTGCATTCTGGAGAATGAAAAAAATGCATTAATTATACCAAAGAAAAGCCATTAGCTATACACAAACAGTGCACAACACCTATATGCAAGACGACATGTTTCAGGTTAGTGAAAGGCTGAGAAGTAATTATGGTGATGCAGAAAACAATGAAACGGACTAAACATTCTCCAGTTTTTTAACGCGATTGGCTTACCTGACGTTTGCAAATGCTTGACTGAAGATCGTAGGCGGCGTCTCTCTTCAACTTTTTAGTACCAAACTTGCGCAGCAGTATCGGCTCGAATTGGTCCGCAGTGAATGGTCCTAGGTAAGGAATATTCGCGGCTACTGTTACACAATGAAACAGCACGCTCTAAAAGAAACTGAAATAACCTTTAGTGTCAACACGTACATGACTACGCACTGTTTGCCACATTCTCTTCCCACCAGACTAGCACACGGTGCGTACAGTATGTGGAAATATGCACCATTTAGCCTTGCGTGTCCTTATTTCAACCACAGAGCTTCTGAATACTGAGCGCGCTGGAGCACATGCTTAAACGAAATGATGCGACATTCAGGTCGCTGACCAAGCCCTTTTTATACATAAAGTCCTTACACCCATACACACATACACGCGGGAGTCATTTAACTATATGATGATGATATATGGTGTTTTTTTGGCGCAAGGGCCATTTGATGGCCAAAGAGCGCCAGTTCATGGGACAAGGAATGTGGATAATGATTGTGATTAGCGGCTGTATAAGGGCCGTAAAATTCCTCGCAGTAAGGCGGGTAAAACATACAAGTAATAAATCATGACCATGCCGTGAAATGTGTGTGTGGTGTGATAGGTGACAAAAGTTGGTGATAATGTAAAACGATGGTGGACATGTACGGCATTAGCGCAAGTACCTCACTCGTTCATACCCTTGCGCCCAAAGGCCGTGAGGCAAAGTGCTTTCCTGTGTAGCCACCGCAGCAAAAACCTCCCTGGGGGGTCTACTACGGGATGCCCGGGTATATGATATGAAAATTATGAATTTTTTTTAAAACGTGAAGGACTGTTGATGCCTCACCACATTTGTCACAATGGTGGATCGCCACCGGACAAAAGATGTGTGTGTGTCGTGTACGTGTGTCCTATCCTGAGTCTCGTTAGTATTACCTCTGTATTACGCGATTTTGATACTAGCAGCCAATGACCAAGGTGTGGCTTAATAATGTGTAGTTTGTTTTGTGAGTGTGTATCCCACTTGCTCTGCCAGTAGTCCTTGAGGTTTCGTTTGAGAGATGGCTTAAGATCAAGGGCCGGGATTAATATGGGTGTAGGGGCATTGCTTTTGTGGACGGATGCAGCGAGCTGATCCGCCCTCACGTTGCCTTGGATCTCGCGGTGTCCTGGCACCCAGCACACTACAACATGTTGTTTGAGTGTGTAGAGTGTGCACAAAATAGAGTAAAGTGAGACAAGGACCGGGTTTCTTGCTTTTTAAGACTGTGCAGAGCCGTTACCACACTGAGGGAGTCTGTATAAATTACTGCTTTTGTATTTGTAATTGTTTGATGTGTTTAGCTGCCACAAGTATCGCGTAAGCTTCTGCTGTGAAGATACTTGTGCCTGGATGTAGAGGGCCAGCATCCGAAAAGGATGGGCCGACAGCTGCGTAGGACACAGAGGAGTTAGACTTGGAGGCATCTGTGAAGAACTCAGGACATGTATTTGTATTGAAGTTCCAGGAAGTATGTTCGGATATGGGCAATAGGTGCATGTTTTGTAAGATCTAGGAAAGACACATCGCAGTCTGTAGTCTGCCACTGCCACGGTGGCGGGTATGCTACAGGAGCCACTAAACTGTGTTCAAGTGACACTCCAGTTTCTTCAGCTATACCCTTCAGGCGAACTGAGAAGGGCTGCCTCATCGAAGGCCTATTTTGAGACAGAATGTAGCTCGACAGATCATTAATAGTGTAGAGTATGAGGGGTGCTTCTTGTCTGCTTTCACCTTAAGAAAATACAAAGGACATGTAAGTTCTCTGTAGATGAAGCGACCATTCATTTGACTCAACGTAAAGGCTTTCTACAGGGCTGGTCGAAAAGCACCCGTAGAAAGGCGGATGCCCAAATGGTGCACGGGGTCCAGCATCTTCAAAGCACTTTGAGTTGCAGACTGATAAACAACAGCCCCATAATCTAAGCGGGTGCGAATGAGGCTTCGATACAGATTCATGAGGCATTGCCTATCACTACCCCAAGTAGTACGTGACAACACTTTTATAACATTCATGACTTTTAAACATTTTGTTTTTAAATACCTGATGTGCAGTACGAAGGTCAACTTGTTGTGCAAGATTAAGCCTAAGAATTTATGCTCGGCTTTGACAGACAGACGTTGCCCCATTCAGTCGAATGTCAGGTTGCGAGTGCATGGCTTTCTTTCGAGAGAACAAGACACACATGCTTTTTTGTGGGTTAAGTCGGAATCCGTTTTCATCTGCCCATTTGGAGACCTTGTTTAAACCCAGCTGAACCTGCCACTCACACATTACCAAGTTGCATGACTTGAAGCCAAGCTGGACGTCGTCGACATATGTACAATAGAACATAATGCGGGGGATGACAAGTGCAAGAAATTCATTTTGATGAGAAAAGTGTGCAGCTAAGTACACCACCTTGTGGCACGCCTGTTTCCTGGACAAATGTTTGGGAAAGAACCGTGCCCACTCGGGCACGGAATGTGCGGTTTGACAGGTAACTTTCGATTATGTGAAACATTCTTCCGCGCACGCCAAGGTGGGACAGGTCTCTTAGAATTCCAAAACGCCATGTTGTATCATAAGCCTTTTCGATATCGAGGAACACAGAGAGAAAATATTGTTATGGACAAAGGCATCTCTGATCTGTGCCTCGATACGAACAAGGTGGTCTGTGATGGATCTGTTTTATCGAAACCCGCACTGAAATGGGTCGAGCAAATTGTTTGTTTCAAGGATATGTAAAAGTGGGCAGTTTATCATTTTTTCGAAGACTTGGCACAAGCAGCTTGTAAGTGCAATAGGCCTATAACTTGAAGCTAAAGAAGGGTCCTTGCCCTCTTTCAAAACGGGAATAATAATAGCCTCTTTCCAGGAGGTAGGGATAGTGCCAGAAGACCAGATAGCATTGTACAAACAAAGTAAGGTTTTCGTGTTTCGGCTAGTAGGTTTTTTAACATTTCATACACCACACGGTCAGAACCTGGGGCAGAAGTGCTGCAGGAGTTTAGAGATGTTCGGAGCTCAGCTAGACTGAAAGCTTGGTTATACGCCTCGTATCTAATGGATTTGTGTTCGAGTTTGCTTTTCTATTGTTCTGTATTTTTGGAAAGTGTCAGTATAGTGGGACGAGCTGGATACCTGTTCAAAGTGTGCACCGAGAAAGTTTGCCTGATCTTCCAAGGTATCACCCTGAGTGTTTACGAGTGGGAGTGTGTGTACTTGTTTCCTGCTATCCTACCGAACATGTTCCAGACTTTAGCCTCCTGTGTGTATGAATTGATCCTGACAAAAACTTCTGCCAGCTTTCTCTTCTGGCCTGCCGACGCGTTCTCCTGCCTTGAGACTTTATCTTCTTGAAGGTGTCAAGATTTTCGGCTGTTAGCGAGTTCCGAAGCAACCTCCATGCCCTGTTCTGTTTCTTTCGCGCATTACGACACTCTGTGTTCCACCATGCGACGTGTCGCTTGGGGCATTCCAGATATTTGCGGTATGCACTTGGCTGCTGCGTCAGTTAGAAAAGCTGTGAAGTACTGCACAGCTTCATCTATGTTTAACCTACATATGTATGTCCAACTCAAACGTGTAGTGTTGTGGAACTGTTCCCAGTCTGCTTTGTTTATCAGCCATTTGGAAACATGTAGAGGACATTCATGTGTGTTTGTGAATTCAACACTACAGGAAAATGGTCCTTTCCATATAGATTATTTATGATTTTCCACTTCAGTAGGGGTAGGAGTGAAGGTAATACGATGCTGAGGTCTATAGACGAGTAAGTTTTGTTGGCAACGTTATAGTATGTTGGCTTTTCTATTCAACAAACAGGCACCTGATGAAAAGAGGAACTGTTCGATGAGACGACCTCGTGCATCACAGCGAGAATCGCCCCACAGTCCACTATGTGCGTTTAGGTCCCCAAGAAGCAAATAAGGTTCGGGCAGTTCGTCTATTAAAGACTGGAATTCACGACTTTCAAGACGGTGGTGGGGAGGTACATACAAAGAGCAGATGGTGACGAGTTTGTTTAAAAGTACCGATCGAACAGGCACCGCCTCAAGGGATGTCTGGAGTGGTAAATGTGTACACGCTACTCCTTGGTTAATAATAATGGCTACGCCACCGGATGACGCTACAGCATCATCTCGGTCCTTTTGGTATATCAAGTAAGCACGTAAAAAATTTTTATTAGAGGATTTTAGGTGTGTTTCCTGTACACACAGCACTTGAGATGAGTGTTTGTATAAAAGCTCTTGGACGTCGTCGAGATTTTTAAGCAGTCCTTTGACGTTCCAATGTATAATTTGTGTTTCATATTGGAAGTAAAGTAGTGCTGTGTGTACGTTAAGGGAGTGACTTGTACAAGCTGAAAGGTCGAGCTCAAGTAATAAGGCTATTATCAGGCCCTGTCATGAGCTTTTTAGTTTCTTGGCACACCCAGAGAGCCGCGCCGCTCTTTTGGCATCAGGGTGCCGCCGTATCCATTGCCTCCTCGAAGGCACTCGATGCCCGCTCATGCGAGCTGGTTTTTCGAA